TTATTGATTGACTGTTAGATTACTTAATGATGCTGCAGTTTTGTAGTATGTAGAAAAGTTTTTCATAGAAGAATCTTACTGCACGTTATCGGTACTTTCAGACAGTAATGATTGAACAAAATTTATCAGATAGATTACATGTTATTTTAAGCAATGTGTGTGCCACTTTTCACCACTACAAAGTTTTTTAATATATTTCCATATACAGGATGTTCCTAAAAGAATGGTGGGGTTTTAGATACATATATATTTCGTATTTCTTACCGTGTACAATCATAACATGTGTCAATCGGAAGCTTAACTGTCCAAATTTTATGTACATCCATCAAAGTGCCTCTATGTGCGCACCTTTCGTCACCCGGCACACATCAATGCGATAGTCGAATACCTGCCACACCCGCTGCAGCATTTCAGGTGTGATGGTCTCCACAGCACGATTGATTCTGTTTTGGAGATCCTGGAGTGATTGGGGCAATGGGGGTACATAAACCATGTCCTTCACATACCACCACAAGAAGAAATCACATGGAGTTATGTCCAGGGATCGGGGTGGCCACCAGAGAAGGGGGGCATCTTCACCTGCAGCACGTCCAATCCATCGTTGCGGAAGGACCAGATCAAGCAAACCTCTCACAATGCTATGGAAATGTGGGGGAGCACCGTCCTGTTGAAAAATGTAGTTATTGGAATCATTGGCCAGTTGTAATGATTTTCTTGTGCTTCTCTGATACGTCTCCCTCACTCTTTCCACGTCTGCATGTGGTACATGTGGCCGCCCAGAACTCTTGCCTTTACAGAGACATCCACTGTCCACAAACTGCCGGTACCATCTGCGAATGTTGTTTTCATATGGCGCCTCCTTCTGAAAACGTACACGAAATTCACGGCATACTGTAACGATGGATTTAGACACCTCAAATCTCAGCACGCAATAGGCCTTCTCCTGCTGCGTTGCCATCTTACATATCACGCCTCCTAACTGTCAGAAATAGAGCTAGGAAAGAGCGCGATATACAAAATGAAAATTTGAGAGCTGCGTTATGAGTCTGTATATGTTTTGCTTTTCGTCACCAAAAACTGATGGAGATATGCGGCAGTGAAACCCCTCCATTCTTTTAGGAACACCCGGTATGCAATCAACCTTACCTATATAAATGAGTTTTATTACTACAAGAGGGAGTGGCATGTATTTATGAACTTCTTAACTGACATCACTAGGTGGTAATGTTGAATAGTGTATTGTGTGTATGACTCTAAAGGAATTATGTGTTTCTGTCCCTTTGCCCATCTAATGTTCAGTACTGTTAGACACAGATGAATTGATTTCTCTGGAAGTCTGTGTGACCAGTATGTTATTGGATGCCAACTTCTCATGGTACTTTTTTAACTTTCTATCAACAGTACCAATATGACAGTATGAATTTAGAGGGTGAAACAATCTTGATCATAGGAAAGAGGCACACTTCTTTTATCTCCTGAATGGTTTGCCATGGAAAAGACAGTTTCAGTCAATAGTTGTTAACTTTAGGAAGTAAATTACAATCTCATCTACTGTCCTTTTTTTCATAAGGAAAGAAGATTTAGACATCATGATGTCCATGTGTCAATTCCCACCTAAGACATTTTCAGTTGACAAGTTTTCATGAAATTTGGTATGAACATTAAGTAGACTCTACCACGCTTTTGTACTTCTCATTTCCTACCATAAATGATACCAACATAATGGCCATTTTAAGGCAAGAGTTATATTAGCAACACAGAATTATAGTATAATGATAGCTAATTAATAAATCCTTTAAAAAGTGTACCGAAGTTCAAACTTTTTGAAATGGTAGGAGCAACTCACTGACAACTAATTAGTGAGTTGACTTGATTCAGATGATAGAAACATGTAAATGAATAACTTGGGCCATCAGTTATTGGCTTTGGTTTCTGAATGGTCAGAGGATCTGATATTCAGCATGGGGAATCTCAAGTGAATTCACTCGAATGAATGATTCTGTATAGTGAGTTGATTCAAAAGAAAACCAAACAACAGGTCTCACATTCTGGAGAGACTGTGCTCTTTAAAGTATAACAAAAAGAAGCTGATGTCACCTGCCACTTGCAAGTTGTGAGTTCATAGTCGTAAGGTCTGGTTTATTGAGTGAAAGAGGTTTTGAGGCAAATGATTTTGATATAACATTTGTAGGGATTTTATGCATTTAATGTAATGAAGATAACATTATTTTCAGTAAAGATGTTAAGTTAGGTCAGGTTAGGGTGAATTATGTATGGTCAATATCTTGACATCCCAGTTTGCTTGTCCTTGATTTTCTGATGCTTGTCTTGGTAGATTAAGTTGCAGTAGGGGGGACCAAGTCACCCAGGCCACCTGGTGGCATTCCCTGGAGGCCATAGGCTGGACTGTCCAAGTAAGGGTGTTGATGCTCTAAAGATAAGTTGTGAGCTACCATGTTGAGGCATGCATGGTACTATTTTTTTTTTTTTATTATTATTTTTTTTATGGGGTGAGACATTCCACTTGGTACTGGTGTCACTGTTTGGCCTATTGTACCAGCCCCAGATTATACACGAAGATTGTGGAGCAGTCGGTGGAATGCGAATTGGTAAGGGAAACCAAAATGCTTGGAGAAAATCTGTCTCAGTCTCAGTTTGTTCCACCACAAATCCCACATGACCTGATCCACGTTCAAATCTGGGGGAAAGCCAGTGACTAACTGCCTGAGCTATGACACAGCCCTGCATGGCACTCGGTAAGCAACATAATGATTGGTGTCCTTGGGATTCAAGGCAACCTCCCATTGTATCTAGGCTTATCCCTGCCTGCAGGGCTCTGTTGCGTGGGGGAGACAATTTTTTCCAGATACGGCTGTCAGAAGGGGTAAGTGTGGCCCCTAAAATTTTCAGTAACTGTCTGGGTCTCCTAGGGACCATGTGAGTCATAACCAGAGTCCCCTCTAAAGAAGTCCTTGGATATTGTCACCCTGCATTGGAGGGCTCAGTTGCCGTGTCCTCTGCTGCCTTACAGGTCTTTGGATAAAGTGTCTTAAGAGAGCATTTGGCCTCTGACAGGAAAGAGTGTAGTCCAGTAGCAGGGTTGCTGACTGGCCACTGTACATTGAGTATGGGCTTCTCAGAAAGTGCCATGCTTTATGAGAGGCAGGCAACGTTTGTAAAGATGTTTGGCTTGTTTGGTGATGGTGTGTGTGTACACTGTTTATGTTGCTCATTGGTTTCAACATTCACAAATGAAATCCAGGTTTCATCACCTATTAGGATTTGAATGAGAAATTTATCATCATTTTTGTGGCATTGCTCAAAAAAGTCAAAGCCGAAGCCATTCTTGGCATTTTGTGTGCGCCCATGAGCATTTTTGGGAACCATCTTGTGCAAGTGTGATAGCCTAACCTAACTACGATAATCTTGGAGACAATAATAAAAACGAAAGTATTTAAAAATTGCTTACCCTAAATGCCCTAGAGTGATCAGTGAAAGTCTTACACTGCTTAAATACAAGCCTCATTCCCCTGGAAAACCTTGGTGACACCCATATATGCAGCCTAGCACAGCTTGGCATGTATGGCTATATTGTTTTTAATTGATTAAATTTTCCATGTAGTGTGCTATGCTTCATTAACACGGTTTATTCTAGAGTGTAATTAAGAAAGCTGATCACAGTGGCCGCGCGGTCTAAGGCATGAACTCTCTTTTCCCTCTCAAATGCTAGGATTGTGGCTTCAAATCGCACTTGAGGCATGGATGTCTGTGTACGTTTATTCTGTATCTGTACTGTCCTATGTGCAGGTAGCAGCCTTGTGACGGGCTGATCTCCCACTCAAGGAGTCCTACCAAGTATAAAAAGATCAAGAAACTGAAAAAGCACCGAGGCCCAACAAAGGGCTGTAGGGCCATAGGTAGATAGTACGATAGTATGATAGTAATTAAGAAACGTAAACACTCTGTCGCTTGTCAACAAACACTAAGCATGATCAGACATTTTATTTTAGATTCTAATTAAGAGACGTGGGTGGCGGGATAGCTCAGTCGGTAGAGCGATGGCCTACATACCGCACAGTCAAGGAATTGGGTTCGATTCCCGACAGGGACAAGACCGTTCCTGAGGTACAACAAGCGTCTTATCTAGTATGTACCAGGTTCTTTCCCCCAAAAGTTAAAGTGGCCATGGCGTGAAGCTAACCACTCACCTTTATGTAGGGTCAAGCTCAAGATTATGTGGATCTATACAGCCACTCCTCCATATGCCTTTATGGTGTAATGCTTAATTAATTGAGAGCAGGGATAACTTGGTACTCTTTAATTAATATACATAATTTATACTGTCACTGGTCAACCAACTATATTTCTTGGTGACAGCGTGAACCCTTGCGTTAAATGTTTATCTTTCTGAATTGAATTCGCAACTGTGTACAGTCTTTTTTAAGCTAAATTCAAAGGGCTGTTTCCACCTACATTGTGGATGTTTTGGCAAAAGGGAATCCACTTTTTCGTTACATTGTTGATTCAAGTCACACATTAGTTATGTATAGTCTTGAGCAGTGTCTCCTACTGCCTACTGAATTCAGAATTACTTCGACTTTAGAAGTAACTCGGCCAGTTAACTCCGTCAAAATCGGTCAACACACTCATTTTACACATACAAGTCTGACGTCAGATGAGAGGTGCTACACCAAATTTATTTTTTATTGCTAGTGGGGTGGGACTAAGTCCCTTGTACTGCGGCCACCAGATGATAGGTGAAGGTGATTGTGGAGCAATTGGTGGAATGAAGATTGGCAGGGGAAACCGAAGTACTCGGAGAAAACCTGCCCCAGCGCCACTTTGTCCACCACAAATCCCACTTGAGCAGACCCCGGGAACGAACCCGGGCCGTCGCTGTGGGAAGCCAGCGACTAACCGCACATCAAATGTTACTTCCGAATATACTTGCGTGATCCGTGCTATTGAGCTACTGAGTGAACCGCGTGCCTGACCGTTCCTGACTACCCCACTTATGGCGCTTACTAACCCCTATTTTCTGCGTCTTGCTACTTGTACCGTCTTGCGCATCTGCAGTGAAACAGGCACCGGACAGCTGTAGAGGGTTCAGTGTGGGGACGTTTGAATTTATTTTGCACCGCTTGTACTGTAATTTTTTAATAACAAAACAACGTAACATTTTGTCTTTATTTAATTACACGTAATTCTACTCAACGTTTGCTTCTGAAGACAGCAGAACGCTGTCCAAAATATATCCGAGCCCGGGCACAGCCCGAAGTGTCTGGGGCCTAGAGACCACAGGGCAGTTTTGCAACATGGTGGCTGAGCATGCATCAGCTACTGTTACAGAAGAGGACAGCAATATCCTGTGTTGTTCTGATAGCACAGAATTTCACATGGGGCATTCCTGCAAATCAATATTTGATGTCGTTAGAACAGGGTAAGGTACTATACATTTATATTTACATGTGTTCAGCATACGGCACACGTAATTGTCAAAGGGTTGGTATTGACCGGTATTGACTGTAAAAACGTTAACCTCATTGTTACGTCAGTTGAGCACATTGAAGTGCTGTAGTAAATGAAGTTATGACATTCTTGCACTGAAATATTCATTGTTACACTAAAGAAAGCCCGAATTATTTTGTAAAAATCTTAAACTTGTGCCTGTGATTAATAAATTAAGCAATATGCCAAGAAGACATACGGAGAAGTAGAGGTATAACTCCATTCTTGACCTTGGCAATAGGTGGAGGTGGGTACCATACAAAAACTCTACGGTAATAGAAATAAAAAAATAAATTCTGTTGCATGATACCAAAATCGCAATGAAAACACGAAGGTGACAGAAATGAATAAAGAAATGTTTAATTTTGTTTTATGTCTATACTAAAACCCTAACAAAAATAAGAACATAATAAGAGGCAAAGTGAAACTGTGGCCACTATTCAGAGCAAGAACGTTATAAGCGCCTGTATCAACTTCCTAAACACTGGTACAGCCAGCATATTATTTCAGGGGAAGGGGGCAGAAAATTTGATTGCTTATGTTTAAGTCCGACCAAGGCTTAGGTGTGTGGACAATATTGGAATGGATCTTAGAGACACAGGATGGGATGGTATGGATTGGATAGATCTGGCTGAGGATAGGGACCAGTGGAGGGCTCTTGTGAACACGATAATGAACCATCGGGTTCCATAAAATGCTGGGAAATTCTTGAGTAGCTGCAGAATTGGCGGCTCCTCAAGAAGGGTAAGAAGGGTAAGAGTAAGTAAGTAAATGTTTAAGTCATTGAAGAATATTGTCATGTATCACCCTACAATTTTGAACATTTTTTAACATTTATTTTAATTCTTTGGTTTGTACAGTATGTTTCTTGTTTTCATTCCCAATTTTTTTCCCTAAGGAATCTGGGGATGCAAATGCCTAGGTTGTACCACTATATGTTGGTGCCTGTGCCAATAGACTAATGTTATCAATTTCAAAAATAAAATATTGTTAGTTAGTTTATAATAAATTTCGACCAGAATTCAGCAGGGAACTCTTCGGTTTTCTCAAACTCCTTTGCAGTTACGTGTAAAATGAAGTTGAGCTTCAGTACATATTATATCAGAGTAGGTGTAAACCTCCTCCAGGACTCCAAACTAAAAAGAATGCTAATAAAATTTTAGGAAAAGCCTTCCACACACCTGGGTTTGCCTCTTGTTATATTTCTGAAGTGGTGGAGAATATATTTTGGGTCCCTCCCCACTGACCTTACCCAACTTAATCAGACCATTTTGAAACTTGGTGTGTGAGATCAAACACTAGATTCATAACTTTAACCTATCACTTCAGTACACATTTCTTTTGGGTGCATTAAGTAGGATGTACGTAAATAGGGGTTAGTGTTGTTATGAAGGGTAAGTTGGAATCATTTTTGTAAGATCAGTTATTTAAGTAAAATCTTTTATAATTATGGTAAAATGTACAGATCTCCTGAAGGATCACTTTTATTATCTCATTGGTGTAAAGACAAAATAGCGAAATAGATACTAGATGATTGCTGATTTATTTCTTATCAGCAGTACTTTAGAGTATGCATTCTAGGGCTCTTTTCATGTAGCTTACATCCAACTTTTGTTGGTTGTTTCAGTGAAGTTTGTGATATAGAAGCTTTAGTTGAGAAATTGGGACCAGAAGCTTTGAGCTCCCGAGATGAGTGGGGCTACACCCCTGCACATTGGGCTGCATTGGATGGAAATGTTGAGGTCATGCGTTACTTGGTGGAGCGATCTGCTCCTGTAGACATGTCCTGCCTTGGCACACAGGGTCCTCGTCCTATTCACTGGGCCTGTCGCAAGGGACATGCAACAGTTGTACAAGTTTTGCTGTCGGTAATGAACTGCTCCTTGAAAAACATTTTTTTAAATTAATTAAAATTATAATTATTTATGAGTAAAACAAAGGCCATTCAAATGACAGATAATTAGCTTGCACTTGTTCACAGAGAGATTGATAATGCTGCCTGTATAATATGTCACGCGACAAATAACTTTACGCCGTATTGAATGTAGCAAATTTATACCACTTGCGCTTACAATTACGCAACTCAGTCACACAAGTACTGCTATCTGCAGTATCACAATTACGTCTTTTGATGTAGTCCTTGCCATTGACTCGATGCAACTCAACTCATAGCTGCTGGACTTCACAATCCACACTGTCACTCCTGACCACACACTCTCTCACATACTGCTCAGCCGGCTTTTTATACCGTTCCCTGTTGCCTTGTGTTACCAGCGGTGTCCCCTTGTTACGTCACAGTTGGAAGTGCTGTTACGTCACTGCAGGGAAAGGGGACGGAGTGTTGAGTGGCCTGTTACTGTAGCAGCGGCAGTTGCTCCAATGTTGTTATGTCACTGAGGCAATGGTTGCCTGACACAGTTGCTCTTCTGTTACATCACCGTGGGGAGGGGATGTTTACCAAGCATTGCGTAATGATGGAAGGAGTGAGGGTATGTTACGTCACTCGCGAGACCACAGAGTTCACGTGACCCCTACTTCCTGTTGAGCCATCCACGTCACAATATGTTTGTTGGCATACTCACTTATCAGGAGTGTAATACACGTAATATAGGTGTGTTCAGATATTTGCCTAGCACATAAACTGCTCTACACTTGAGTGGACATTTTGTCCTTTGTATCAGACTTCTTTCCAAGCAGTAAGGTTTTCACATTAGCAACAAACAGCAGTTTGCTTATCACTGAAGTTAAATCAAGAAGTGAATGGCATTTTTGGCATAACTTTAATTCATCACACAAATTATTATGAACATAAACTTCTATAACTACACTTTCAATCAGAATAGCGTTACTTCTGTTTGTCCATGCCACGATTGTAAGTAAAAAGCAATTAAATATTTTCAAGACAAAAGAGATCTATAATTTTTAAGCCACATCATATTTGTATATGCTTAAATTGATGAAAAATTCCACAATGGTCCATGAAATTTTTACAGCACTTCAGTGACATGTGTTATAATAATTACGAACTCTGGATACAACAACAGAGATGTGTCAGAGAATGTGGTTAAGTACAGCCTGAAATAATGATAAGGATTATGAGATTATATAGTCAGTTTAGCAATTTAGTCTCAGCAACAGAAAACTACATTCAGATTATGGTTGTGTTAAAGAATATTAAATTTACCATATGTTACGGACCTCACCAGTGACAGTTTTATCAATTGCAGGCTAAGTCAGGAACATATTTCTGTGTAGAATAAAAATTAGATCATGAATTGAAATGCTGAATTTCATAGGCTGGAGTGGCTGTCAATGCTCCAGATTTTAAAGGCCTGACACCTTTGATGACTGCATGCATGTTTGGCCGAGTTGCAACTGCTGCTTTCCTTTTGGGGATGGGCGCTCTGCATCATCTCACTGACATCAATGGTGATACAGCACTTCATTGGGCAGCTTATAAAGGTAAGGGATATTATATATAATTTGCACTTTGATATTTATTTATAATTGGCAGTTATTTGAGAGAAAGTATGGTATTTCAGTACATAATTCATGCAAAATTTTTCTGCAATTTTGCCATAAAAGCACTTAGATGTCTGATTTACAACAGAATTTGGAAATTTAGAATTATATTGTGTNTTTCTTATATTTTTTAAACTGAAGGCACACAATGGGGGTGGAGGTCTGGAGCACCACTGGGTTAAGACTGGGGCCAGGGGTCCTCCTCATGAAACATTTTAAGAACAAAAAGAAAAGATGCTTTTTCAAAAATTTCCAATAGAAAATGCACCTGCTGATAAGTGGCAGCAGGCCAATGGAAGAAAGCACAATGAAAATAAAAATCATATGATTTGTAGAACTCAACTGCTGCCACTTTTTATTTTCATAGTACTTTCCACCATTGGCCTGCTGCCACTTATCAGCAGTTGCTTTTTCTATTGGAAGTATTTCACAAAGCATCTTTTCTTTTTGTTCTTAAAATGTTTCATGAGGAGGACCCCTGGCCCCAGTCTTAACCCAGTGGTGCTCCAGACCTCCACCCCCATTGTGTGCCTTCAGTTTAAAAAATATAAGAAATTGTGTCTCAGCATTGTTTTCCACCACAACAGTTCGGCAGGAGCATAAGGCAGTGCAAATTTTAGAAATGTGCTGGTAGAAGGAAACTTTTCCTGAAGTGTGCATTCCTGAGGGAGGATGTTGGCAACTTTAATTTTCAAGAATTTACTGATGGAAGGTCCTTGATCCCCCAATTTCACTTGGAGTATGCTGCACACCTGCCATGCTCCTCCCAGCTTGCCACATATTTGAGAAATGTATAGCATCTTTTTCACAATGTTGCTAAGGGAGGATCCTTGCATCTCCTCCATTCCTTGGTTCACCAAAGTGGTCTTCCATAGCACAAGGTCCTCACTGGCATGCCCACAGTTAAAACTGTAGTATGAGAATCTATCCTGCAACTTCAGAGGCTGGCATTGTACTTCAAAATTGAAATTCAATAGATGTTTGTGACATCACATCAATGAGAAAAAAGTTTGAAACAGGTGACTGCCTAGTTCTCTTTTGTGATATAATCCTGCCATAGGTCACTGGAAACTCAGGGGAAGGAGAAACCTGTGTAACAAGGAGGAGAAGGTGCAGCACTGTGTTTCTGTAGACTAGAATTTAATCAGTATTTATAATTTTGCCCAGTACATTAACATCAGCATAAACCAGAAGTTGGTGTGGCCCATTCAGTTTTAGTCCCTCTTACTTTCTTGATGATCATAATGATGCATTCTAGAGCAAAGTTGGGAAACAATGAATGTATAGCATCTCCTTCCTTCATGTGATTCTAAATGGGACAGACATCCATCACATATTTACAGACTTTACTATAGAATTTATTTAAGTGATAGCCTTACTAGCTTCATGGGTGTACAAAACTAAGTGAAAATATTGAATGTTTAAATTGGATTATATTATATTTGATTAGATTAAAAGGGCTAGAGGGTTAAATGTGATAATAGATCTTGCATAATACTTTCCTTCTGATGAAATCGTAGGTTTTCTTGAAGTCTGTAAATGGCTAGTGTACTGTCATATTGCACTTCCTTTTCTTCTTCAGTATCTGATTAACACAGAATACATAATCAGTAATTGCTTTGTTCTGTGAAAATCCTCACTGATGATCCCCAGTGATTTGTCTACTTGTATATATGGAGCTAGCCTCAAGGAAGTATGCTGGACAAAATTTTATATTGTCACAATTTAGTTGTGTGACTATATGTGGGATATGGTTTGTAGATTGAACTTACTGATCACTTGTACACATCATTCAGAACTACAAGTAAACTAAAACTAACTAAATATATGTTCATATAAACAGATTTGAATATGGTGTAGTTTTTAACTGCTTAGGATTGAAAGTCATAAATAAGAATCATGCCTCTTTAGAAATGTGATTTTACATCACAGTAATAGTGGAAATATATCACTATATGGGAAGAATAGTGTGCAGCTATCCTGAAGAGTTGAGAGAAATTTGTTGAAATTTGATGAGTGAAATTCTAGCAGAGTAGAGTAACTGTAGAGTAAAATCCCAGTAAATGTCAGAGCAATACTACTGACTAGCAAAACTGAATACTAACTTTGTTTCATTTTAGGTCATGCTGACTTAATTCGGTTGTTAATGTACTCTGGAGTTGATATACAGAAACCTGATAACTTTGGTTCAACACCCTTACATCTAGCTTGCCTCTCAGGGAATGTTAGCTGTGTTAAGATACTGTGTGAAAAGGTGAGTATAAATGAAAGGTAAAGCTGTCCCTTTGCACCATGTATGATGATGTACGGGGCATGAGATGGAGGTGAGGTGTTAGCTTCATATCCTGGCCACTTTACTCCTTGGGAAAGAGCTCCCAATACCTAGTGGATAGGAGGCAGGTTGGGCCACAGAGCCCATCTGGATTCTATGGTGTAGAGAAAAATCTCTTGCCTGTGAGGAGAATTGAACCATGATGCTTAAGCCCATAGGTTGTCACAATATGGACTGCTCCAAAGACCATCAGTGTGGTAGAAGTGATGTTTCCGAAGTTTGATGATACAGCTGCATGCTTTCATAACCTCAGAAATGTGCTGCATTCATTGTTAATTTAATCCTGACATAAAGAAATGCATTTGTAATGTTCTTTGAAATGTCTTGTTGATTGGCTCCCCAGGTAACGCTGGTTGTTTCCACCAAGAATAGTACAGTCAGCTTTAGAGTAAACATGTGACATTATGTGGAGAAGAGAAAATTTTTTATTCTACCGGGACTGGAACTCGAACCCCTTCGTCATCCAGCTTGTAGCCAGTCGCTATACTGACTATGCTATCTTGGCTCCTTACACTTCAAAATTAAATTTTTATAAAATAAATAATTGTTCATATACAGATTAAAGACTAATGAAGTAATGTGACTGTAGCGTGTGTTATTTGCACAGTTCTTGTGTGTAAGTTGGTAAAGCTATCTGAAGCCTTCAGTGAGAACAAGTAAGCATAACTGTCCCGCTCATTGAAAATGAGCAGGCTTAGCTTACCAGTAACCTTTGCTGGTCATGTGTTGTGCTGTTGTAACAGTATATACACATTATGCAATTGGCTGAGTGTTGCATTTTTCAGTATTAAAGCTATTACATTCTATGTAAGATTTGAGGCTTTCACGGCGGTGACTATGAAGAAAGCAGTCTTCTGGGATTTGGCACCGTGTATNGCTTGCAGATTTCTTATATATTTTTTCTTCTACCCTGAAGATGGAGGCGATACGTTCCTCCGAAACGTCGGTTAACACCACATATACACGGTGCCAAATCCCAGAAGACTGCTTTCTTTATTACATTCTAGTCACAAGTTCTGTAATGTCATGTTGTTAGAGTTTTCTGTTCCAAATTTAAAAAGGTTAGATTTTCTATGTCCTTTGCTTGGAAGTGCATGGAAGTAATCCATAATACAAAGGACATAACAGTCCATCTGTTCTCATTTCTCATCTCTAAAACTAAACTTGTTTTGGTGAAACTTGGTGTAGGAAATCCGCACTAGAAATTGTGCTTTAAATTTAATTTTGGTCTGTACTGCTGTGCAAATTTCTTACAGATGCTAAAAGCATGCTTCATTGAATTTTACCAGAATTGGTTTGTATACATACTGGTACATATAATAAACTGTAGAACTTTTGTAACTTTCTCTTTGAAACTTTTTTTGTGTTCTATATTTTTCATAAAATTCAAGAGACGTCAACTTATTCTGTACTGTGGAAGACCTCTACTGTTACTTATTTTTGCCAAGAATAGAATTTATAATAGTTCAGTGTAATCATTGTACTGCTGAGAATTTTTGTCTACCGTAGATCTGTACCTGCAATTAAAGGAACTTAAGACCTTTTACAAGAGCACAAAGAATACATTTGAAAAATATGTGTGCTCCAGACTGGAATAAACCTTTCTATGCTTTCTTTTTTGTCTGATAACTTTCTAATGAACAGTTTAGGAAAAGTCAGTGGGATGGCAGTGGAATAGGAGGATGTGTGACCTATATATAATAAAATGCCTTCTACCAGATTTTTTACCATGCATTTAATAAAAATTATTAATTTGAATAACTATTTTCCTGAGGATTTGTTCTCACCATTGGTTCAAATTGGATATGAAGTTCTGTCCAGTGGGTTGTTTCTCTTGGGGTAAGATTGACTTGAGTGTGAAGCTATATAGCCATCTCCAACTGCACTTCATTGTGCTTGGATACAGAGGCAACTTTACCTTTTCTTTAGGTAAAGGTAAAAACTTGTACCTGTAAGATGTAAGGGAAAGGAGTTACTTCTTCACCTAAAACACACTTCCATACATTCTCATGGCATGGTAAAATTAAACACACAGATAACTTTTTACCTATATACAGCAGCATACCGTGAAGACATATACAGAGTGTCCCAGGAGGAATGTGCCAAACTTTGGGAGGGTGTTCCTTATGTTATAGTATGCCGATATAACCCAAAACACCTATGTCCAAAGTTGAATGGTTACGGAGATAATGGCCTGAGAAAAGTGTGGTCTTCTGGTGAGTCCACGCACTGTACCTGTCAGCTGGCATGTCTTATCTATGTTTGTCCTTGAGTGTTGTGATGGGAGCTCACGTTAGCCCCATACACTCGCATACCAGAACGCGCAGTCAGCAATGTTACGTCAGCACTTCCCATTCATGTGTCATGTATAGTGCTTGGAACTCTTAACGACAACTTCGACATGGCGTGCGAGTTTTTTGTAGTTCAATTTAATGGCTTCATGTCACTCACAAGTTAGTTTGATGTTAGGTACATTATTAACATTACAGAAACCACATATTCCTGCCAGTTTTAATATGTATTTTATAATCAACAAGTGTGTAACACCGGTCAAAGTTTCACACTTCTCTGGCCATTATCTCCGTAACCGTTCAACTTTGGACATAGGTGTTTTGAGTTATATCAGCATACTTTAACATAAGGAACACCCTCCCGAAGTTTGGCACATTCCTCCTGGGACACTCTGTATACTGAACAGGTTAGTCTAATTATAGTACTCTAGAATTATATTCACCAGTCATGGTAGCCTAGCGGTCTAAGGCGTGTACTGTCTTCGCTCGCTTGGAAACTGGGATCGTGGGTTTGAATCCCACTCAGGGCATGTATGTTTAGTTTGTGTTTGTGTACAGGTAGAGGCCTTGCGACGAGCTGATCATCTGCCCAAGGAGTCCTACCGAATGTGTAAGATCTAGTAAACCAAAGTGAAATGGAGAGTTTCATGGAGGTAGACCAGGGCCCAAATTGGGGCTGTAGCGCCAAAGGAAAAAAGAAAATGAGTATGGAGGGAATGGTACAAACTTTCCAGACTTTGGCATTATATTACTGTGAATCATCTTTGTCCAGTATTTATGCCCCAGTGGTTCTAATTTTATGTTTTGTTGAAACCTTTCTCTTCAGAGTAAAATTGAACTGGAGCCAAAGGACAAGAATGGAAAGACGCCTTTACTGCTCGCGAAGAGCCATCGCCACAGTGACATAGTGAAAGTTTTGGTTGCAGAAGAAAAAAGAAGGGCTCGCTGGATGCCACCTCTGTCCGAGATGTGGTAAGTTATTGTAGTGTATGATTAAAAATGTAATTTTCTGAATAAGTTGCAGTTGAACCCCAGTGTAAGGTTTTGTAGGGGGTTGTAGAGTTAAATACTGAACTGAGGAAAATATTAAATTGAGGTAATTTTGCAGTGACGTTGTTGACTTGGGAGGATTGAAATTTGAGCATTAAATGAAGTAGAGTAATGTAAAGCTATTCCTGTAACAGGCCGTGAAGGCCCATAGGGCTGTGAGACATTGAGGGTCCCACATTATCTAGACACTTGGCTCAAAGATGGCTGTAAGGTTGTCAGCCTTACGCGCCAGCCACACTTTACTCCCCAGGAAATTATTTAATTAATTCCTGGTACTCATTTCTGTTAGAGTTGGAGTGAACCCCAGGGCCATAGTGCGGCTGGAAGGATTATGTCAATTGAAGAAAATCCAATGACCTCATCAGGACTTGAACCTGCGAACTTCCGGCTTGTAGCATAGTGCCTCAACCAACCCTTTAAATTAAGGAACATTAAACGGGGGTTACATTGTATAAGTTAGGGCTACCAGTTGATTAAATTTTGTTGACTGGCAGTTTTTCCTTAATTTATTATTAAATCAGTCAATATGTAAATTCACTTTGAACCAGATATACCTGTTGCTGAGTACTAATCTTGATGGTACTTTTTCTCCAATTAGAGGAGGGTTGAGGGAGAGAATGGTCCTTATTTGTTGTTAGTTGATTTGCAGGTTATTTAATGATGCTCTTTAAGCTTCATGTGTTGTTTGGAGTGAACTGAGATGAGATCTGTTGAAATGATGATGAATGAGATGTTGCCTGTATGAAGATAATGAGCTGCCATTCATCTGGATAAGATGAGGAAAGCTATTAATATTTGTCATTGATGTAGGTGCTTGGTCAGGATTCCAGCTGGGAATTCCCTCAACCAATGGAATGAGAGCAGGATATAGATTGGATTAATCTGGTTCAGAATTATGTCTAGTTGTGCTCTGACATTTGGAGTTTTAAACTTGAGGTTCTTTTACCAGAGGGTTAATTAGATAGTTGGTTGGTTAGTTGATTAGTTAGTCAGCTAGTTGGATATAGTCCGGAGTTTGGCTGTACTTTATTTGTATTATCATATTGGTACCACATTTACACATTTTATGTATTTTTCAGGGCCCTTTTATTTGGAGGAGCTGGTGACTCAAAGGGCCCTCTTCTTCTCTTCATGGGTTCTGTCCTTTTATGGGGTTACCCCATGTATCTGCTCAGGGTATTGTTGTGCCACCTCAGTTTTGCTACCATTAGCACATAAACCTATATATTGTGTTGCATGCAGTATTCTGTTATGCATGTTTTTTTTTGTGCCAGTTGTGTTTTCTGTTATCCTATTAAGTAAGTTCTGATGCAGCTTCTTTTACATGGAAATGCTTTTGCCCTTATCATAAGAAGTACTTTTCTGTCTACAGATGTCTTTGACCATTCTGACTTTTCCTGTGCTGCTGTTATTAGATTCTGACTTTATATTTGCATTTAGTAATTTTTTTTGTTCGAATGACACACACAGTGCATTGTACTGTCAGCTGTTCTCCTGGAATTTGAGAGTAGTACAGGGAATCCAAGCTATTCTCATGCTGGCCAGCTAGAAAACTATTTGCTTATGCCTGTCCTATGCTGGTCTCTAAACCATCACTTAGTCATGCTTTGCATGCCGGTTTATCTTGATATTGCTGCATGTTTAGCATTGTTGTTGATGTATGTACAAACTGCACTGTTGCTAAATATAGTGATAAAAAATTAAGTACAGTGTTTAAAAGAAATTATTCATGAATGATATCTGTGTACATTGTTCTTCATGGAGGAGTTACTGTAGAAAGTTAGGCCACGCCATAGCTCAAGTGGGTAGTCGCTGGCTTCCCACTGCGGCAGCCCGAGTTCAAGCCCGGGTCTGGTCTAGTGGGTTTTGTGGTGGACAAAATGGCACTGGGGCAGGTTTTCTCCGAGTACTTTGGTTTCCCTTGCCAATCTTCATTCCACCAATTGCTCCACAATCACCCTCATCTATCATCTGGGGCTGGTACAATAGGCCAGAAGTGGCCGCAGTACAAGGGACTTAGTCCCACCCCTCTAGCAATAAAAAAAAATACTGTAGAAATTTCTGTAGGAATTATCCTGGCATACAGTGCCATGTAAAGCAGTAATTCAAAATATTATAGCAAAATTACATTCTGCAGGATCAATGGTGGACCAAAGTAAATCTTGAAAGAGTACTCACTGAAGAAAACATGATGATGTTGATCCTGATTAGAAGGAAGCACAGAGAAGTTGTTAAGTGTTTGGGTTCTATATTGTGGTTCCCAGACACTACTAGACATCTTGCAAGATGAGCACTGAAAATGTTATAGTATATTGATTTAAAAAGTACACATTGCATTGTATATAACTAGGAAATCGTAAGCTGATGCAGATTTTGAAATACAAGGCTACCTGATTATGAATGTACTAAGTGGAGTTTATAATACGGCTTACATTCTTCCATCAAATTTTCAATTGTTTCTCAGTACTAATTTTTATCTTACTTTACAGTGCGTCCCGATAACATGGAACGTCCTTCGAGTCTCACACTACTGCTTCATCTATTGGAATCTGCTGATGTGGTTCAGCTGGGTTGTGGCAAATCGTAGGGATCCAGGTTATTTGTCTCTTAACTCAGATGGTTACTATCGAGCCATCAAACAGATCCCGTACTTTGACAAATGGAAGAAACGTAACATAGTACTTTCCCGTTTATGCCACACTTGTCACTGCCTCCGTCCTTTGAGGGCCAAACACTGCCGAATTTGTAACAGATGTGTTGAATACTTTGACCACCATTGTCCCTTCATTTATAACTGTGTTGGACTTAGGAACAGGTAAGCAGTATTTCTGAAGGCAGTCATTTTCATAGTGTTGGTTATGTAGTTTATAGTTTGTACAGTATGTTTCTATGTTGTATAGCAAGTTGTGGTGCACAACATTTTCTGTAATACATGAGTTTCGTGAGATAAGGAGGTTTTGCAGCGTACACAGTGCATCTGAAAAGTAACATGACAACTTGCACTCCCCAAAGAAACAGAAGAACAATTTGTTATGGCAACTTTTAATAGCCCCATGAAATTCTATACATTTGTTACACTTCTCTTTTAATCATTGAAAGTATATTTGAAATTCCTCCAAAGTTATCTCTTGGTGTTGGTTGGTTACATTCTTTTGAATGTTTTTGATGGTATGATTTTTTTCTTATTTTTATCTTTATTTTTAACTTCAGAAAGAGAAAAAAGTCAGCCACAATCAATTGTGGGGAATAGGGGAGGCAGTTTATCTCACCCCATTTTTTCAAAGAAATCTTGGAACAGTTAACATGGTATATGTAGGAGCATTGTCATACAACAAAAACAAGTTCTTGTTTTCATGAAAGGCTGGTCTCACCAATTGAATTCTTTGCAAAAATTGTTCCATCACTTCCAGATAAGATTGGACATTTGTGGTTCTTCCTTTCAGAACAAATTCCTGCTCACATTGTTATGAATGTAACAGAAATTGTGTACTTTTGCATGGCACTTTGTGATGTTTCAACTTCAACTTCAACTTTAACTTAATTTTTATCCATAACTGAAGTTAATACAATTGGACATGTCAAGAAATAATAGCGAATACATGACATGTCAAAGTCACATAAAATGATGTAGTTGATGAACCAAAAGTTGTGGCACAGTGCTTGAAAACCATGGTTTCAATTCCTTGTATGTGTAGGGATTTTTCTCTTTAGCACCCTTTTCAGACTGGCTCTGGGGCCCTATGGGCTACGTGTAATCTGAGTGCTGTGTGCTCGTTCTCTGGGTGTGAAGTGGTCAGGGTGTAAAGGCATACACATTCAACTTGGTGCTAAGGTTAAGAATGTGTAGACACAACTATACCACTATCCCCCATATCTCTTCATGATATGGAGCTTGGTTAAGCACAGGGCTTGTTTTCTCTGTATTAATGTAGTGACACAATTTACTGCACCTCCTACTTGTTTCAATTTCAGATTTAACTTCTTCACATTATTGTGTTGTATAAACATGTCATATCTGAATTTATTTTCATACTTCTCTTGATATGGCATATCATTGATAAAATACAAGGGAAAGTGGTTACAGCTGTATTCAGTGAAGAATGTCTACTTTGCAGTAGTAGTACTATCAGCCAGGTTTATGGCTCTGTTACCATAATAATATACCGTCACATTTCACACTGTATTCAGAAAGCCTTTTAGTATTTGAACGTGAATGTTAGTATAGTTGAATATTCTTATGAAATTTTATAGGCAGAACAAAAAAAATTGAAACTTCTTGTAAAAAGGGTGGATTTGAAAATCATAAGCATATTAATAGTTTAGTGCATTAAAATACAATTTCAGTTATGATAATTGCAGAGTCAGTCTATAACCATCTGTTATAAATGGATGAAATTTTTAATGAATCCATCAGCTTGGGAAGAACATAACCATCAAAAAACATTTTAACTGGTTAAAATATACTGTAAAACATTGAGCAGTCTAAAAGTACTTATGGCAAGATGTTTGGGACTTTATAATTTGAATGTTGTAAGTTATAAGAATCTTAAACTGGAACAACTTTGGTGGGTCCCCCTGTACTGTCATAGAATTTTGTGAGCGTTGAAATGGTGTGAATCAATCATAAAATAATGTGTAACAGTTTTGTTGGTTTTTGTTAATGGGTAGAATTTTGATGTTATTTTTCATCCCACAGGATCTGGTTCTTCCTGTTTGTGATGAGCGTTGCCATCAATTGCTCCTTCACCATTTATTTTGCATGCTACTGTGTTGCTGTTGAAGGTTTTGAGATTCTGTATGTACTGGGTCTGATTGAGGCTTTGGTTTTCTGTGGCCTGGGGTGGATTCTTGCATGCACCTCAGTAAGTTGAACTCAGTTTTATTTCAATGAGTTCATTTAATTAAAATCAAATCTCAAGTAAGAAATAAAAATTATGAAGATGGAACTGGATTAAAGAGACCCAGCATGAGGTCAAATGGTGGACTGTATGTACATGATTAGGAAATTTTGTTTTGCATAAAAGCCTTGAAGTTTCTGAGCAAGTGAGCAAGAAGACATGCAATGTGAGTAATGTTGCATTTTGCATTTGAATTAATGGTGATTGTGATATGTTCATCAGTTTTGCTGTGTAATAACCTCTGCTTGAGAAGATGGCGACGTTAAACCTTGTTTGATTTGGTATGATTTTTCATCAACAATCTCATTCCCTTCTCTCTTCATCCATTAGTTCTCACTCTAATTTCTGTCATTGCAGATACTTCATGCCTGCATGAACCTGACAACTAATGAAATGTTCAACTATAAACGCTATTCTTACCTGAGGGACAAACATGGCCGCTATCAGAATCCATTCTCTCGAGGACTCATTTTGAATTTACTCGAGTTTTTTGTTTGCCGTCCTGATCATAATAATGACCTTGACTTCCTGGATGAAGGACCTTTGTGAAGAAAGACATTTGAAACTGCTTTCACTGAGCACATGGAGAGAGGTGAGCTCATATTTTACTTAGTTGAAGATGCATTTGCATTGGTGGCTTTGTTGTTGTTTATCTGAGATGTCATATAGATGAGCAAATTTAAAAACCTGAAAAAACTGCACAGGCAAAGAGCCATGTTATAACAGTGAAAGTAACATTTTTTCAACAATTTTATATTAAGGTTTTAAGCAATAAATATCATCAGTGACATAAAGAATTATTGTAATTTTTAGGACTTAGTCTTATTTTGAAGGATAGGAGGACAGTGGCGAGGAGCTTGGAACTAAATTTTCAGTATTTGGATATATGTGAGAGGTATCTACTCAGACGAAGCTTGTCAGTCTTTCAGTATCATGTCAATTTATAGATCTACTCTTCACTATTTTAATTTTTGAGAAGAGTTGTTTACAGACATGTGCTTTTGAAAAGGCCTGTCATTTGTTGTGCATGGGCACCAAACACTGAAAACCTGTTAGCAGATAAATAAGAGATTATAAAAGTTGAACATATTGCAGTATATTTCCCAGGTGTGTATCACACGGAAAATTCATTTTCTATGCTTAAAATTTGGCTGGAACAGTTTCAGCATTAATGTCAAATGGCACTGAAAATAAATTGATTGTAATCTTTCACTTCTTGTATGTCTTAAAAATGGAAATTTGTATTGTATTCTTATATGCACATCTCAACCTCAGTGGGTATTCTGTTCTTAGAATTGGAAAGTGTTACCTACTGTGTGATCACAGTGGTGGTTCCCGCAATTGAAGCTTCCTCATGAATGCTTCTATTTTGTCAGACATTTTACTGACAAGGTAATTGGCTTCTGTAGGTTGACGTTCAGTTCGTTTGTGTGGTGGATGATGTAAGTGCAAAACATGAATTTGCACATCCAGTTCTGATTACAGAGCTGATGAAAAGGTTTCCCCTTCATAAATAATTCAATCTCTGCTTTTCTCACACAAATGTAAGCATCCACTGACAACTCAACCAATGAATATACTATTTTCTTTAATTTTGTGTGATGGAGTGAGCCTGAGTCCACTTGGCACCTTGACCACTAATTGGTCTACAGTATCAGCCCCAGGTGACAGAAAGTATGGAGCCTTTGGTAGAATGTGAGCTGGCAGGGGAAATTGAAGTACTCAGAGACAACCTGACCCCTGCCACATTGTCCACCACAAACCCCACATGACCTGACCTGGGATCAAACCTGGGCTGCTGCTGTTGGAAACTGGCCGCTAACCCCAGATTTACGACATGGCAAACCAGTGAACCTCCTATACCCATACATGCACCATCAACACAACATGTACAGTTGTTAATTACATATAGTAAATGAGTTAACATGTTCCAACCTTGGTCATCAGGCTATGGTGCATTTGTTCAGGTGAAACTGCTGTTAATGTTTATGTTTGAAATACTGGCCAGTATAAGTAGTTACTATAGGATTCTGACGATGGTGTATAACACACTGATATATTGGGTTTTCGGACTTTATCCATCGTCCTGGTTTTTAAGAAAATTAATAAACNGAAACGTCATGTTTTTATTAATTATCTTCAAAACCAGGACGATGGATAAAGTCCGAAAACCCAATATATCACTGGCCAGTATGTAAGTGGTTTTCGTGGTTTAAGATTTAGGTATAAAATGACAAATTTATTATATATTCTTAAAAAATCATTAAATATTAATATACTATGCATGTCACTATTATAGTGGTTTGTAAATCAGGAATTAGTTCTGAGGCCAGTTTGCCTGTATGTCACCTTACTCGTGTTACTCATCTTCTCACTTGGTGTGGATGTTTAGTGCCAGTTGTGATAATGTATTGATTCTATTGTGTGCATTGATGCTGTAATGTTCTTTTTACTAGTTGTAGCAAAGATTGTTTTCATCTTGTAGTTTGTTGTTATTGGTCTCATCGTTTTGGATGTTGGTTGGTGATTATGTTGTTGGTAGTACAGGTTACATACATTGGTTGTTGAACTCTGCTGTGAATGTAAATTTTATATTAGTTCTTGTGTTAGCAGAACTCACTCATGGACTGCACTGGGAAGCCTGACAGGCCACAATTTGATTCAAAAATTGAAAATCAAGACAGTATCAATCCCTCTTTTGATTCAAGAGGAATCATTCGCAAGGAATTACTTCCTGAAGGAAGAACCATAAAATGTCCAATTGTATTTAAAAATGATGGCAATATTGTTGCAGAGAATTCAATGAGTAACACAAGATTATCATGAAAACAAGAACTGGTTTTTATTGTATGACAATACACCTGCACATACCATGTTTGTTGTTCAATGATCTCTTTTGCAAAAGGGGTTACCTAAGATCACCTAGTTCGGCTCCAACTGAAGTTTTTTTCTTTCAGGAGTTGAAAATGAAGACGAAATGGGAAGAATTTCATACCATCCAAAATATCATGGATGAACATGTGACGAACCATTTCAAGGAGATAACTTTGGAGAAATTTCAAGGATGCTTTGCCAGGGAGACTATTTTGAATGCTTCTCATAATGACTTCTTTTTCTGAAATTTTACCTCTATATGTATATGTATGTGTGTGTGTATAATTCTTGTCTCATTACTTTCCAAGTTTACTGTGAATACCCTTCATGAAATTTTCGAGGGTGGATATTCCATGGAATTTTTATGTGCAGTTTGAACTGACCAGAATGTGAATGTGATCATGAATGATTCTTTTTGACAAATATAGGATATTAAATTTAGATGGTTTGCACTTACAAGTATATAATATAGATTCTATGCCATTATATACATTCATATGATGTTCCTTATTGGTTCTATTTATATACTGTTTTATTTCATCTGTTCAAAATCCTACACAGAATGAATTGTACAGTTTCAAAATAAATGCCTTAATATTATCACAAGACTTCAGTAGAGATGAATTAAAGTATATATATTGAGTTACAAGTAAACTACTTTGATTTCTGTGCAATCACATTTCACAGTCATCAAGTAGATGGACATCAATCAGCCATCTGTGTATGCTGATAAATTAACAAAACAATGTTTCATTGATGTAATATACTTCTCTAACAGTGAGGTCAGATATGTCCATCTTCATGTAGACGGAAAATATGTGCCCGTTGTGTGTCATGTTAGACAAAGTCAGTTATTATACTGGGTCGGCTTTATCTTATGCCTCCCAGCGTTAGTACATTTTCCATCTTCCAGAAGACAGAACAGTTTTAATTAATGAGTCCACAGAGTTGGTACACTTTCCATTTTCCAGAGGATGGAACAGCATTATCCAGCGGATTACCAGAGTAGGTACTCTTCTCTTCTACCATAAAGTGGCTGAGTTTGTCTAGTGGGAGAAGAGTTGGTATTATTTCCTTCTCCCTTAAGATAGGCCAGCTTCATCCACTGAACTCACAGAATTGATGCCATTCCCTTGTACCTGAAAATGGAATGGGATAAAGCGGCTGGGGCGTGAAGCAGACCACTCACCTCCAACTAGTGCCAAGGTCAAGAAAACGTGGGTCTGTATATCCACTCCATATGTCTTCATGGTGTAGTGCTTAGTTAAGCGCAATGAGAACTTTACCTTTTACCTTTTACACATTTAAATGGATGAGTCATTTTTAGACAGTAAATATTCAACAGAGTAGAATGAGGGTGTGTTTAAGTATTGTTCTAGTGCTATTTGAAATCACCCTTTTTCATTCATAAGACACTACCCAAATAGCACTCACCATGGCAGCTCCAACTCCCATTGGTTAGCGCCCCGCCCAGCGGCAAAAGTATAAAGATGTGGGCCTCAAATATGCTAGAATCAGTCACAGCTACGCTTACATTGAGAGAACACCACAACTGCAAGTCTACTAGCAGCAAGCACTGGCAGCTGACTCCACCAGTGCTCATCAGGCCAGCTGGCTTTGC